ACTCAATCCTAAAAATTTAATATTCAAAGGTCTTCGTTCTTTTTTTTATTATAAGAAAAAGAAGAACTATATATGTTATTGCTTTCACCTGCAGATATTCTACCTCATAGGATTTGCATTCTTCTGCATTGAATCATTGATAAGCATATGGGTGATTCAGGTTCATACCAAAGCCTTAACATTTCTTTTGTAGCAATTTTATGAATGCTACTACTTTTTATATTCCTTTTCTATATATATATATATATATATATATATATATATATATATATATATATATGTCTTGAAAAACATATATGTATGTATATGTAGCAAGTATATGCTTATTTTCGTGGAAGCGGAAAAGCGGAAAGTATGAAGAGGGAGGCTGCGAGATCGACGATGATGGCAGCGCTATAATTGGATGGTGGATGGACCCTTTAGCTCAGAGAACTTTGAGTTAATTATATGATTTATTCCATTTTTTTATTATTTTTATATTATTATATTTGAAGTTTTTTATCAGTTTAATCCTTGATGAAGTTTAGGTTATGGTGGTAGAGACAGTATATGTTAGTCATTTTTTTGTTTAAAGTTTTAAACTGAAAGTTGATCTTTAGTATCATATTCTCATTTCTGGGTTTTAGCTTTTTATTGTGATTATATGTATTGCATGTTTGGTGTTGGACAGAAAAAGAGGAGAGAATAGAGAAAAAGAAGACAGAAAAAGAAGTTTAATCTTACAATAATCATATCTTTCAATTAGATTATTCTTTTTTGAAAAGGATAAGATTGAAAGTTGCTAACTCATGCATTGTAGTCCTAAAATTTTACATAACCCAATGTTGTTTTGTATAAAATTAAACAACTCATATTTTAAGATTTTTAAATCTACATATTGCATTATTATTTTTGTTCTATCTGAGGAAGTACAAAATGTCTTTGGCGTATTATAAAACTGTACGATATTATTTATGAATAAGAATTTTTCAATCTTACATTAGACTTTACAAAAGGAAAATCCTAGAGTCACAAACTTCACGAACTTACCTTTTGTGGAATTTAAATTAAAATATTTTTTAAATATTTGAGTGCATCTTATTTCTAGGAAAGTGCTAAAAAGGCAAGTTTGTGAATTTTGGGAACTGTTTGTTTGTGACTCTAGCATTACTCTTCACAAAAATAATCTAAATGTTGTAAGATTTGTTTTAAAATGACAAAATTGCCACTAAATTGAAAGTAATTTATAAAAGAAAAGGGATAAAAATGGAAAGATGCAACAAAAACAAATTTCTAGTGCCAACCTCATTTCTTCTTATGAGGAGAGACTCCAAATTGTGGTAGGGCCACTTTTTTCCCTTATTTGCTCTACAAATTTGGTGACTAGGCTCGGTCCTCCGTTTTTTTAAATCGGACTTTGGTCCGGTCTTGTCCGGTTAACGGTTAATTTTTTAAATATATTCGTTCTAAATACGAGTAATTTATAATATAAATTTTACTCCCTCCGTCCTATTTTATAACGCCTGTTTCGATTTACGATGTTTGACTGAAGTTATTTTCAAATCATTTTATATGACAAATGGTATAAAGTTAAAAAATAAAAATTACATATCAAAATACTATATCAAAAGATCTACAAAACTAGTAGTGACAACAATATTTTATTTTATCAAATTGCTAACGAAAATTGAGAAAGAAAGTGAAAGAAGTTTGACCCTGTGAATAGTGAATATGCATTATAATTTGGGACGGAGGGAGTAAATTTTTTTCTTAGACAAAATATTTAATGTTACATTAACTTTAAGATAAAAAATTCTTCAATGTTACAATTTTGTTTTTTATCATAATTTTTTCTAAATAGTTCAATTTAAAATAAGCTATCAATTCTAATGATATCTAAAGTTTTCAATATGCAAAGTGTGAAAACGTAAATGTATTGATTTTAATTATACGTTTAAACTATGTAAAATTAAAAATGCATTTTTTTGAGGGATAGATGGAGGACATATTTTATTTAAAGTACGCGAAAAAATAAAAAGAATTATGCTTGATGCTTAGTGGATACGGAGTATTACGCATTAAAAATTATAATTGTACTCCGTAAATATATTTGTACAATTGGAGAATCTAAATTAATTAAATAGATAAAACTAAATTTTTAAATAGTATAAACAAATTACCTTTATTTGGTCCAGTCCCGGGACGATCTGGATTTTGCCAGTCCGGTCCAAGGCTAATCCTTACCTTATTCGGTCTGGTCCTTGATCCATGAAATGCCTTTTATTCGATCCCGGATTGGATTGGGTTTGGAGACTTTGGACCGACGCACACCCTAGGTGATACTTGAGTATGAGATGCCTTTTATTCGATCCCGGATTGGATCCAAGGCTGATCCTTACTTATTCTTATTAGAATTAGTTCATATCAGAACAGAGTAGCTAGATAAGAATAATTTTAAATATAATTACATTAAGATCATATAAGAACTTATTTCAATTCAATTAGATTAAAATCATTTAGATTAGATGAAAAGAACAAGTCCAGAGAGGATGATGATGCAAATGTAAAACTAATTAAGGGTTTGATAGACAATAGGTTACATTATGAATAACATTGTCCGTGTTTGATAGACAATACTTTTTTACAAAAAATAATTGTTTTATGCTATTGTTATCTTGAATAAAAAATTTAAAGTACAATGTAAGTGGTTTTACAATTATAACCTTAGAGTGTAGGTTATTTTTATAATTAATCAGATGGGTGATCGAGAAAAATATATAATTTTAGAAAGATTATTTTGAAAATTTTCTCATAGCTTGGATGATGAAAAATACCAAAATATACTCTATTTATTACTCATTTAGTAAATATTTTTTTATAGAAAACTATGAAGGGAATAAATCTCAGTTATAGAATATCATGTATGTAGTTATTACTTACTTAAAACAACATTATATTATAAAAGACTATTTTAAGAATTATCAAAATAAAATAGAATAATTGTAGTAAAAAAATGAGACAAACGGTATACTTCGGGAGAGAGAAACTAAACTCGACATGAAAAAAATGAAATCATGCCTGAGTTTGCGCAGAAAGGGCTCAGACGACACACCCTTTGCCTCTTTGTCTACATAAACAATTAAACATACATGGAACTATGCTCCCAAATGATATCCAAATTTTACCTATTCATTTTTCCTGTCTATCCGTTGAACCAAAGTAAATAGTCGTGTCTGTTGGAGTTTACACATTGGAAAATAAAGATTGAATACTACTAACATATATAGAAGGGTATGGTGAAGTGCTACCTATTAGCTTACGCTTTTGGGTTAGAACGTAAGTTCTAACTTTATATGCAAGTTGTTAATTATACCACTGCTCATTGTGTGAGCTAGTTATAAGAAATTGAGATGCAACTTTATATGCAAGTGATTAATTTAATCCAACACTCTACCCATTATTTTCGACCTACAGGAATTTTAACAAGTTGAATAACCCATCGTTTTTAATTTTCGGTAAACGATACCAATTTTTTATTTTAATTTTTTTTTAAAGTTTCTAGTATCGTTAACTGTCCAACAAAAACTACGATTCACGATATGGTTATAATTTGTAAACAAAATTCGGTTGGTTAATCGAAAAGTCAATAAAACATACTCATGTAATACTAATTTTTTAATTATGAATTACACTACTAAACAACTTTGTTCTTTAAGTTAAAGAATCACAAAATGGAGTAAAAAAATGGAGCATATATTTAATGAGAAAAGTGCACCGTTTATCTCGAACTCTTTGAAAATTACATGGTTTATACCTGAATGTTAAAGAGTGTTTCATTTACTCTCGAACTCTTCAAAATTTGCACGATTTACCCTTGAACATTAAAAGGTGCACCAAATATCTCCGAGCAATTTAAAACGTTGCAACGTTGGTCCTAAAATGTTAGATAAGGATTGCGTTATTTCCACATACGGGAATTGAGAGTATGATTCATGTCGCCCTTGTGAATTTTTCAAAGTATCCTTCCCCAAATTTATCATCTTTATTTAAATCTTCAGGGGTAAATGATGCGATTTCTTAAGAGTTCATGGGTATTTGGTACATTTTTTAATGTTCAAGGGTAAATTGTATAATTTCTAAAGAATTCATGTGTATTTTGTGTATTTTTTTATGTTCAAGGATGTGCAATTTTTAAAAAAATCGAGGATAAACGGTGCACTTTTATCTACATTTAATTTAATATAAATACAGTTATTGAAATTAAAGATAGTGCGAAGCTGATGTCGCAAAATCTAAGAGACTCTTAAAATTAGAGTAACTTTTAAGAAATCTACAGAAAAGCTTGAAATAGTAAGTTATTGATATGACAAAGTTTGAAGAAATTTCAAGACTCCATGCATTGGAGATGTCATAATGTCAAAGTGAATCTCAATCCAAATGCCGGTTAACCGACCAATCCACTATGTCCATTGTCCATTGTCTGTCCTAGTCATTAAATATTAGTAATCCACAATTTTTTAATAGAAACTTCATCTGTGACGAACCCTCAAAATTGATCAGACGATCACCTAAAAAGAAGTAAATTAGACATTTGTCATAAATTGGTAGGGAGAGTTGAGCCTACACCGTACCTATAAGGCTCAATGCTTAGTAATTGACCAAAATCGAACTCGAGAATGTTACTCCTTTACCTTGCCAACTGGGAAGCACTGAGAAGCCACATTCCTAAACAAAATGTGTGTCGGTGGGCGTTACACAGTTGATTAGGCAAGGAGTGTCAAGAGGATAATACTCAACTTCGATTCATGACAAGTGCACTAGAAGACAACTATGTTAGGCATAAGACGTCTGCAAGTACCATGTACAAATTCTACTTTTTGCCACCAATTTACAACCAAAATCCAATTTACCTAGTTGTAGTGACCATTCCATCCAATTCAGATGGGCTCATCCTTTTTTCCTAAACAAAATGTCTAGTGGCAGTTGAGGGGTAGACTGGTAGTAGTTTAGTGATTCTTTAACTTCATTTTTCATTTAATTACCCCCATTTATGGAAGCGTGTAGCCAATTTCTCTCTTTCTCTCTCTCTCTTCCGAGGCCTTTTTTGCCCTGATTCAGCTCAGATCAGAATGCTCATCGCTCGTTGTAACACACTTGTCTCTCTTCTGATTCGCGAGTACTATGAAATACTCCGATTAACTCTGATTTTCTTCTTCAAGATGAAGTTTTAAATGTCTGTTACCCAAATTTTTCACAGTTATATCCATGTTTTCTGAACTTCCTTTCTTTTTTCTCCATGTAAAGGTCAATTCTTGAAGTTGTGTCAGACCCATTTCTCCTTTGAGTGAGTTTATTTGATTAGTTTGAA